AACATGGAAAATAAGAACATGTCAACTTAGAACGAGACTTGAAAACATGTAACATTTTCTTAAATGTGAATATGAACAAAATACAAGATACACCTCTAAGCAAAAGATCAGAGAATTTTCCAAATCACGAAAACAAATTCCTACTATGCTATCTAAAACTAGGTCATATCCAAAAACAATAAAAAAAAACATTAACTAAATCTAATAAACTTTTATATAAAGTATCAAAATTTAAAACCAATAATAAATGTGGAAAACAAATCAATGAAATATATGAATAAATAAAATAATAATCTTAAAACAGACATATTAAAAAAGCATTTCATAACAAAAATAAAACTATTAATATATAATATATATATATATATATATATATATATATATATATATATATACAGGTAAGAGGAGAAGGAATAGAGTACAATTCCCACGTTCGAAACATTTAAGTTAAAAGAGGGATCAATACAAAGTAGAGCAATATTATTTATTTCAGAATTGTACATTAATGCACCTTTAAAATTTTGTTTGCGAAAGGATTCATTATAATATATATATGTATGTGTCTGTGTGTGTGTCTGTGTGTGTGTCTGTGTGTGTGTGTGTGTATGTATATATATATATAATGATAAATGGAAAATATAACAAAGAATAAAAACACGTAACTTGTAAGAATTATAACATTACAGGCTAATTATCTTTAAACCTACCAAACCTACCAAGTACTTCTTTTTACAAAAGAGGTGGCAGGAAGGACTTCATATAAACTGATTCCAACCCCATTAATTGATAATAGGTATTAACCTTACTCATTACTGAGAATATTTTCCGGGCTATAAAACAAGGTACACTCCTGGTTTTTAATCAAGTATTCAGCTATTACTGAACATGATATATTAACGCACCTATGTTTTCTGGTGCATGTTAGTTGATCCGGGCTTCAAAACCTTTGATCCGTCCAGCCTACGTTAATCATCATCGCACAGACATGTGAATTTTTAAATGACAGAACTTATATGATGTGTAGGCAGTACACAGTTCCGGATTGGTCTTAAGAAAGGTCGGACATCGAAAAATGGATTAGCAGGAAAAATTCTTAAAATAACAAATAAAGAAAGAAACGAGCTAAAATAAAATAAATAAATAATCAAAAATATTAAAGAAAGAAAACAAAAAAAAAGAAAAAATTGTTGGGGGTATTGCTCTCCCACTTAATTCTCAATTGCTCATAACCACTGAAAAGGCTAAGAAAGAAATAGTGATATATTTGAAGACTAAAGCAAAGATGGCTTGAGGCATGAAGCATATTGTCACCATGCTGATATTTTCTGCAAAGATTATTTTGGTATTCCTTGTCAAAGATAAAATGTTACTGAATACCAACTACTCAGAATTTTAAAAGTAAATTAATTTGAAAAATTCAGCTTTTTAATTCATTATTTATAACTATTTATTTCGTATTTTTTGTCCTAAACATTTTCTTGATGTTAAGATTATAAATGAGAAAAGGACATTTTATGAATTTAGAATATAACGAGAATAACATCTATCAAAACTAACGCGATTATTTTCGTATGAATTGTCAGTTCTGCTTTACATCACAGTATCTGTGTTATCTTCCGAGGATTAATTAGATCCAGTGACAGGACCCAAAGAGTGTGAGTTCAATACCCGGTTAAGGCAGTGGAGAACTTGGAGAGGGGAATTAAACAGGAGGTAACTGATAACTGACATCCATTAAAAACATGGCACGTGGAACTAGAACAGTCTACACCAGTGAGCGAAAAAAATTTTTTACAAAATTTGAAATTTGTCCTCACCAAAACAAGGACAAAAGTCCATATAAACATATGTTCGCAAATGCTTCGTTTTTGAGTTAAGTTTACGCTAGATGGCTCTGTGTTGCCATGTAGACTAGGTTATATTTGTCATTCGTGTACATTTTGAGCTAGTCTGTTTTCAAAGTCTAACGTGTGTAGTAGTGAGTTAAATGAGGAGCGTCCCGTTTAACAATAGCAGGATATTCATATCGTGAAACGTTGTGATAAATATGGCGACAAAAATGAGGACAATAGTCCGACTAAATTAAATAATGTACATAATACCTCAGCTTATTTTGCAGTCCCTGTAAAAAGATACCAAGGCCATTTTGCCGGTAAATTGAAATGTTTTAGAACTAAGAGTATATTTTATTTGAGATCGTCAGCGCAGTATTTGTGTGAGCTTTGTAAGCCAGAACTTGAATAACATGGATTCTGTGATCTGTGACTGTTGTTTTCAGTGGGTGCACCTCAAATGTATTGGCAAGAGAACCATGACTAAGGGAAATTTTGGATTTTCAGAGACTCTGTTATCTTTAAAGTGCTTAAAATATTCTCAGACTTTTATATTTCTTTTAATAATTGATGATGAAAAATGATGAAAAAATGATTTCAATAATTGATGGTGGAAAAGATTTACAATTAACTTTTGATGGTGAAAATAAATAAATTTCTGTGTTGCTATTTTTAATCTTACCTACCTTTATAATAATAAAAATATTTACCGGCAAAATAGAAATAAGCTTAAAAGCATGTTTGTCTATTTTACTGGGACAGGCGAAATGGCCACCTAAAATTTTATATTATATGCAAACGTGTGCATCTATAATAGATAATGTTAATACTCCTCTAATTCTACAGGGTTTCAAACTGATGCTTTTTCAAGGATAAAATAAAAGCTTAAAACGTTTCTATTCGTCACAAGTAATTCCAAATATGGAAAACGGATCAAAATTCTGTAAAATCAGGAATGTGAGAAGTTATACGTGTGCGGGGTTCCGTGTGTCTCTGTGTTTCTGTATCTGTCTGTGTCTGTGTGTGTTATGTGTGTCTCTGTCTGTGTGTGTGTGTGTGTGTGTGTGTGTGTGTGTGTGTGTGTGTGTGTGTGTGTGTGTGTGTGAGGTGCGTATATGTATGTGCCTGTGTGAAAATGTGTGGAAGATGTGTATGTTGGTGCCTGTGTGTGTATGTGATGCATGTGGGGGGGATGTATATCTGTGCCTGCGTGTATGTTTGTACCTATGTGCGTGTGTGTGTCTTGGATTCTCTTCTAAAATAATCATCTGATTGAATTTCTAATACATTCATCAGGATACACGATTTAATCTCTCTTGCACACTCTAGCTCTCTTTCCCCCTCTCTCTCTCTCTCTCCCTCTCTCCCCCTCTCTCCCTCTCTCTCTCTTTCTTTTTTACTTCTTTCGCTATCACCTTCTGAATGCAACCATTCTTTCTTTCGTTCGTTCTTTCTTTCTTTCTTTCTTTCTTTCTTTCGTTCGTTCGTTTGTTCGTTCTTTCTTTCTTTATTTCCTTCGTTCTTTCTTTATTTCCTTCGTTCTTTCTTTCTTTCTTTCGTTCTTTCTTTCATTCGTTCGTTCGTTCGTTCTTTCTTTCGTTCTTTCTTTCTTTCTTTCGTTCGTTTGTTCGTTCTTTCTTTCTTTATTTCGTTCGTTCTTTCTTTCTTTCTTTCTTTCTGTCTTTCGTTCTTTCTTTCGTTCTTTCTTCCTTTCTTTCATTCGTTCGTTCGTTCTTTCTTCCTTTCTTTCATTCGTTCGTTCGTCCTTTCTTTCGTTCTTTCTTTCGTTCCTTTCTTTCCTTTTCTTTCTTTCGTTCGTGTTTTCCTTTCTGTCTTTCGTTCGTGTTTTTCTTTCGTTCGTTCTTTCTTTCTTTCGTTCTTTCTTTCGTTCTTTCTTTCTTTCTATCATTCGTTCGTTCGTTCTTCTTTTTTCTTTCTTTCGTTCTTTCGTTCTTCGTTCGTTCGTCCTTTCTTTCTTTCTTTCGTTTTTCTTTTTTGTTCTTTCTTTGTTCTTTCTTTTCTTTCTTTTTGTTCTTTCTTTCTTTCTTTCTTTCATTCGTTCGTTCTTTCTTTCTTTCGTTCGTTCTTTCGTTCTTTCTTCCTTTCTTTCATTCGTTCGTTCGTTCTTTCTTCCTTTCTTTCATTCGTTCGTTCGTCCTTTCTTTCGTTCTTTCTTTCGTTCGTTCGTCCTTTCTTTCTTTCGTTCGTGTTTTCTTTCTGTCTTTCGTTCTTTCTTTCGTTCTTTCTTTCTTTCTTTCGTTCTTTCTTTCGTTCTTTCTTTCTTTCTATCATTCGTTCGTTCTTTCTTTCTTTCTTTCGTTCTTTCGTTCTTCGTTCGTTCGTCCTTTCTTTCTTTCGTTCGTTTGTTCTTTCTGTCTTTCGTTCTTTCTTTCGTTCTTTCTTTCTTTCTTTCTTTCGTTCTTTCTTTCGTTCTTTCTTTCTTTCTTTCATTCGTTCGTTCTTTCTTTCTTTCGTTCGTTCTTTCGTTCTTTCTTTCGTTCGTTCGTTCTTTCTTTCTTTCGTTCGTTTGTTCTTTCTGTCTTTCGTTCTTTCTTTCGTTCTTTCGTTCGTTCGTTCTTTCTTTCTTTCTTTCTTTCATTCGTTCTTTCGTTCGTTCGTTCGTTCGTTCGTTCGTTCTTTCTTTCTTTCGTTCGTTCGTTTGTTTGTTCGTTCTTTCTTTCGTTCTTTCTTCCTTTCGTTTGTTCGTTCCTTCTTTCTTTCTTTCTTTCGTTCGGTCTTTCGTTCTTTCTTTCTTTCGTTCTTTCTTTCTTTCGTTCATTCTTTCTTTCGTTCGTTCGTTCTTTAGTTTTTTTGTTTCTTTCTTTCTTTCTTTCTTTCCCAGGTTCAGCGAATAGCGCAGAAAAGAGATTGCCATTGCAACTGTTATCACAAAACCCATTTGAGAATAACGTATTAAATTAATTTTGTTTATATTTTCAGCGCAGCTAATCTTGGATTTTCATCCGCATGATTAATTCCATATGATTAATGATAGTCGCATGTTATATTCACATTCTAAAAGAATTCTACTTATAAAATCATAAAAAAAAAACAGACAAAAAATATTAATACGAAACATCCAGCATAAAATTTTTAAAAATACCAAATCTTTATATTATAGTATCTTCGAGCGGGACGAAAAATCATAACAACGGAATATTTCATTATCTAAAAACCAGCGGTCAGAACCGTGGCCAATAAATATATAGCCCCAATGTGTTGATAGATAGATAGATAGATAGATAGATAGATAGATAGATAGATAGATGTTGTGGAGTTATTTTTCAGTGAAGGCTTGTATTTCTACTAAATCGGTCCTAAATAGTTCGACGTACAAAACGTTAGGAACTTAATATAATAGGTATTACGCAGAGTAATCTTGTTGTGGTCGCTGACTACTTTCGTATTCGACTAACGGTCGACTACTGTCGTCCGACATCGACTGACCCTCGGTTCTCTTACTACTCGTACTTATATTAGGCAGGAGACTCTATTAACTATAGAATAGGTGTGTTTCACCATAACAATAATGAACAGGGTCAGATAGATAGATAGATAGATAGATAGATAGATAGATAGATTAAATGAAAAAGTTCTTAGTTACGCTTTTTTCGTATCATTCATTTCCTCTCAACTATTCTGGACGGAATTGCATCTATAGTTTTTCTACAGGATTTAATCAGAAGAGATACATCGGAATCTGATTTTTTTCTAATTTGACTTAAGTCCCTATTCACGAGAAAAAAAATAAATTATAGCATTAATTTACTCTCACTTTATTTCTCACAGAAATATGTATTAATGATTAATCAATTTACTATAAAAAAAAACCCTCAGAAATAGAGAAAAGGGGGGATAGTTGGGGAATTGATGGTAACTGCGGTCATTAGCATATTTTTTAATTTTTCTTATAAATACCATATTCGTAATTCTCTATTAGAGAAAGTACAGCCTTTCGATCAGTTTCAATTGTGCTAACCGATATATATATTTATGTGACGAGGGAATAAATTTTAAAAACAGGCTCAGTAGCAATGCTTCAAAAGTGCATCAAAATAAGTTAAAAATCTCAGTTCTTTCCCTTTATCCGATACATTATAGTAGTCGAGCAGCCAGAAGAAAGCTTCTTCTTAAACCCGATGAACAGATAAAGCAATAACTATTTGTTATGGAGAACGAGCCGCTAGATTTGTAACGCACAATCATCTACTTTCTTAACATTGAGTACCTCAACGTGTTGTATTGGTTAGCAAGCTCATCTCGCTAGAACAATTACGCCTGAGTAGTGACTTCGATACCCAAAGCGCCCTTATGTCCTTGTGTCACATCTAAGCTACGCTTGGAAAATTGCCATCTACTTTAACAACCGTGTCCTTTTAGCCACAGTTTTACAAGTGCAGACGAGTGTATTGTCTTTTAGATTATCTAATCAACTGTTTCGATATGCACCGCCACATTATACCACATGCGATCTTTTCCATTACTAAGAAATAATTAACGTTGGTGGAATGAAATAAACTATGGATCCCGATAAATACATATCCATTTTCTGTCAATATTTCCCAATAGCTATTTTGAGAAAAAAATATTGGGAATGGCAGATCGATAAATCTTTCAAACTATTTTTTGTTGCAGTTTAACCACGTGACATAAATCCTATGCTTGCATAATTTCGGATCGTAAAATAAGGAAAATTATAAAGGAATCCATGATTTCTGTTATATATATATATATATATATATATATATATATATATATATATATATATATATATATATATATATATATATATATATAGAGAGAGAGAGAGAGAGGGATGTATGTGTATATGTATGTACATTTGTGTATGTATGTATGTATATATGAATATATATATATATATGTTTGTATTTGTAAATGTGTGTGTGTTTATATGTACATATATGCAAGGATATATGGTTAAATGGGTTATGACTGATCGAATATTACCATTTCATCACTATGACTACCGTTATTTCACTCATTGGCATTATTATTATTATTATTATTATTATTATTATTATTACGACATTATAAAAATAATATTATTATTTCTTTTTAAATCTTATTTTATTTCGAAATGTTTTTCGATATTAGATTTTTCTTAACTTTAAATTATGAATTTAAGATTTAAAATTTGAAATTTTAGGTTTTTATTAAAAATATTTTTACTCCTTAGTTGTTAATTATAATATTAATGGTATTATTAATATTAATATTTTTCGTTTATCTTATATCCACATTATAATTTTTTCCTATTTCATTTTGTTGATAACTTTTACATTTTTAAAATTGAAATTAATGTCAATCTGTAAAATATCTATTTTTTTAAATTAACCGCAATATGCCCATATATGTTAATTTATTCTTCCTTTTCTTCTTTCCTCAACTTTTCCTCACACCCCTGCTTCCACATTTGCTTCCTTATATCTTTTCATCTCTTTTTTTCTCTATGTCTCGTTTCCTGTCAGAGGACTTATTAAATAGGTCAATGTCTGCTCCTTACCCCCTCCCTTACTCTTAAGTATTTTAATAAAAATAGATTTAAAATTATTCCTATCACTCCTTTCCTTCTTTAATTTCGATCATATCTGTCGTTCTCTTCTCCCACTCTCTCTATCACCTTACATCAACTTAAAACATTCCCTCA